TAAGTCAGGTTTTCCTGATTTCGATCGTTTTTAGATGTCCATCAAAACCTCACATGTCCATAAACATTTTTTCGATCTTAGTACCTTATTCTAGAAAAGTCTCCCATCCAATTTCTTATCTCCTCTGGCTGAGGACTGGGACGAACAAACCAGCAGCCGTGATTGCGCAACTGACTATTGGAAGATCCCAAAAAAAGGAATCTATCCCCGCCTGCGATCACTCCGCTGTCCAAGATCCGCCTCAAACGTTCTAAAATGTTATCAATGGCTCCAGCTGCGGATGAGAGCCTCGAGAAGTCTTCATCACGAAAGTTCACACACAAAAACTGGTCTGTGTTGTAATTGCGAAGGACACGATTTTTGGACATGATCTCTGGTGTGTAGTAAAGGAGCCTTGTGGGTGTAATCACCATCCGTTTTATCATGGCGCACTGATCGGGTAGCAGTTGCTTTGGGAATCCCCCTAGATTCAAATTTGTTTGGTTGAGCAAGGCTTCGAGTTGGGCCTCTGGATCGCAGAATAAATTCTGATGGAGAGCCGTGCCAAGTCTTTCCAAGGCAGACAATGTTGTTTTTTCAGGTTTACTTCTAAGCAAAGTGGCGAACTTGGTCGTGATTCTACCCCTGGCGAATGGGAAGGAACTCAGAACACATTGCGCGGCGTATTTGACGACAAAAGGTAACTCCTTGGAAATGTTCACCTCTGGTAATCGTCTCAAAGATTTGCGCATAGAAACAAAGAACGACTTCTTGTCATATCTAGCAATGCTTTTAAGTACCTCTTTGACATGTTGCCATTCACTCGCCTTAAAGGTAAAGTTGTAGGCGAAGCACAAACCAAAAGCTTCCCCGCTGTCTCCGATTTCTGTAACACGCTCCCAATTCACCACGTCGTCAATTCGCGCGAGATCCGAACTCGTCAAAAGAGCTTCGGTATCATCTTCGGACTTCACTTGAGTACTTTCGGCACTACTGCGGTTGACTCCGGAAGTCGTTCGATCATCTTCGGAATCGCTCGAGTACTCGCTGGAGAAGCCACGATCGTCATCAAAATCGAAGTCGTAGTCGTTCTCATCGAAGTACCAATCTTCAAAGTCGTTTTCTTCGTCATCCTGCTCTTTCTTGATTAAATTCTTCGCTCTATAGATGCGTGGAGGATGCCTCAGGGAGATTATTACCTCTTGAGACGAAGATGAGCTCCGTTTGTCCACCAAAACAAATTCTCTCAGTTCGCTGTAACGTATTTGCAGCTTGTACAGGTCTGCTTTCCATTTACTGAATGGATTAGCCATTGTAAAACAGATCAACAATGTTCGCAGATCATGCTGAAACGCAACGCGAATGTTTTCCATCAGCTTGGTGGAGTTGAAAGGCCAGTGAATACAGAAATGCGCTCGATTCCAAAAGTACCCCAGATTGATGGCTTCTGCTTTGATGACAAGCACCTGTTTGGAATACTTTTGACTCTGTGAGGGCTCATCTCGACATAACCAGTGCTTCTCCGTTTCAGATCGATACGCTTTGGGACGCGAACACCACGACTGAACGATATGAGTAAAGAATTTTTCTTTTTTGCGGAAAATTTGGTCTTCACAAGGCTCTAACTGTAGGCGAAGAATGACTGAGTGACTTTGGTCCGAAGTGCTCTCCTCCCCTGCTAAACTCTCAGCATCTTTAACAACTTCAGAGGTTTCTGGCGACAAGGACTTCACATCAAAATATTTCTCGAAGTATTCTGTTAGTTGGCTAACTTCCTTGTTGTTGTTTCTATCTGTGACAACATTGAAAATAGCGATACGTACATTTGGAACACGCTTCTTTCTTCTCTTTCTGGGTCCTCCTGATGCTAGACTTTCTCCTCGTTCATGGATGGTCATTGCTTCGACGCTGTATTCATTTTCCACGTCATCATCCTCTTCCTCAGCTTGTGGTTCCTCTTCTGCGCATGCCATGCTCGGCGGTTCAACTGAATGTGACTGTTGGCTCAAGTCTGGTCTCTTCATCTCACAACCGAATGACTCTGCCTGTAATCGTGCTGTGGAATATTGTTGCAACCTCATTGCACATTCCATGTTGTTTTCCATTTTGATAGCATCGAACGCGTTCGTTTGCTCTTTGCAATCACTGCAGATGACGACAAATCGGCTGTCGGGTCTGCGAGATGCTCGCCCGCGACTCTGCACTATTCCCCGTACAGTCAGTGCGCTGTCAAAGCGGATGACCAGGTTACACACTGGTACGTCCAGTCCCTCCTCTAAAACGCTCGTGCTGACAAGTAATTTAACTTCCCCAGATCGTAACTTCTTGAGGATTTCCTCTTGTTCTCCTCTCCAGTCCATTCCATCGCTTCCCCGCCCATGACCGACGAGGAAGGCTGGGTTCAATTTTTCGCAAATTTCAGTTTCTTTCCGTAGCCGTTCACAGAGCTTGTGGGCAGTCCTCCTCATTTTGACAAAAATGATCCCTCTGGAAGTTTCGTCTTTTTCAACTCGAAGAATAAAATTTTCAAGTTCCTTGGTGAGGTGTTGATACCTGTCGCTGAGTGCGAAAAAGCTTGAAACTCGTCTGAGGTCTTTGATCGACGATTCTAGAACCTTTAGCGCATTTAAGGAACCAACGAGCTTCTTCTTGAGCCGTTCCAAAGGGGATGTGGCCATTCGAAGCTGTTTAATGCACTCTTCAAGACACTCCACAGCATACTCGTTCCCCAAGATGTTGTTCACTTCAATCACACTGAGCATGTGCATGGCATGTTCCCCAAGCGCCAAGCCCTTTACGCGGCTCTTGTCACCATAGCAACGTTCAATCAACTTACGCAAAGCACCGCGGTAGTTGTGTTTTAGAACTTGCAACTTGTCAAGCGCTCGAGGACATTTGGCTTCACATTCGATAAGCTCTTTCAAGGAGTTGAGGTACAACTCCACGTTTGATTCAAATACTGTTTGCTTGGTGTTAAGAGGAACCATCTGATATTCTGTATCCGGTCGGTTCCAGTACACCTCTAGGTCTGTAGACCGAGAAGGCATGCGCCCACATGCGGATAGGTTCGACAGAAGTTCCTCCAACTTTTTCGACGTAGCCTGGAGTGTATCGGCGCCTGCTGGAGAGGCAGTCAGCGCCAGCACTAGAGGCTTAAACCTGTTACTTGTGACCCTGTAGAAATCTCTCATGACCTGATTGTAGCAATGATTTCCAAGGCAATGATGGGCCTCGTCGAAAACGAGAACAGAAATATCAGACATGCGCACCACCACAGGATCACTGGCCATAAGGTTTAACAAAATCTGGTGGGTCAAAACCAGGAGATCGATTTTATTCTCTGCCAGCGCCTGAACGGTGGCTATCCAACGCGACTTATCGCCCGGGAAACGTCCAACATCTCCCGCTAATATCTCCACTCTGAGATCTGGAACCTGGGACTTGATGTAGTCACTCTGTTGGTACACAAGTGGTATGCGGTCCACCAAGAACACCATCAATTTGTTTGGGTTTAGTTTCTTCATACAGCTCAGCACCATGGCTGCAATTAAAGTCTTGCCCGAGCCCGTGGGAAGGTAGACCAGCGTGTTTCCGCGCAAGGCTTCCAGAAACATTTCTTGTTGATATCCGCGCGGGATCTGCTTCGTAAAAGACAAGACTTGCTCCGTAGTTAGGCTGTTCCGTACATCGCAATAAATCAACGGCTCTGAAGGAGTTTCATTCTGTTCAATAGCATCTGGAAGTTGTAGCTGAGAAATATTAACAACCTCAAGGCCATACCGCAAAAGTTTGTCTTTAATGTGCTTCAATCGTTTCCCTCTGATTTCCTCATACCCCTTTTTGAAATATACGTTTTCAATCTTGAAACAAATCAGGGTGTTTTCGTGTACAATGCTGACTGTACCTACGTAATCATTGCACTGTTTGCAAAGAATTTTGTAAGGAGAAAAAGAGGCTTTTTTAGCGTCAGGGTTTGGAATCTTTCTAAGTGTTTTGTAGGCTTCTTCTTCCTTCTCTTTCTTAATGGCCATATGCGTCGCTGATGGAGGAACTGTAGCTAACATTAAAATATCCACGGTAGCCAGCCCTGTGTTGCAGTGACCGCAGTACAGGGTAAGGCAACCCCTGTAAGCCATTGAATAAGTGGTACACGTCAAAGAAATTTCTGCAAAAGTTTCAAAAAATTGTAAATGAGTTTGACTTACTGCTAGCTTTAAAAGTCCAGTCATTATTTATTGCTGGG